TCATGTCCAACTCTTTGGAATGCTATGGACCTTAACCCCAGGCTCCTCTGTCCATGGGATTCTCCCAGCAAGAATACTGGAGTGGGTTGCCATGCCCCCTCCAGGGGACCTTCCCAACGCAGGGATCGAACCTGAGTCTCCTGCGGCCCCTGCATTCCAGGTGGATTCTTTACCACTACCACTACCAGGGAAGCCCCTTAATTGGTTTAGAAATCAGTATTTATTGAGATACTCCTCTGCTCTACACCACAGATAGTGGTTTATCACTCAGCTCCCTGACAGATCAAGGGTGCTCCCTCTGTTCCCCACCTGCCTCGTGTGGTTGACATGAAACAGGGAGGGAGCGGCGGTGGAAAAGGTGATGAGGAGCAGCCTGGTTCTGGACTCCTGGACTCAGAGGACTGCAGGGGCCTCAGTGAGCCTACAGGGAGGGAGCATCTCAGTTTTCCTCCCCTCACTTCCTGCTCAGAGTCTCCAACACCTCCCCAGTTCCTCCCAGCCAGGCCAGTTATGACAGTGGCACAGATTGGGAGCTAAAGACCTGGATTCCTTGCCTAGCAGGGCCACTACTCACCATGTGACCTTAACCAAGTTATGCCTCTCTCCCCAATCTGGCCTGAGTTTCCTCATCTGAAACAAGAAGGGTTATGCTAGACAGTAGCTGGGCTTCCCAAGTGACTCAGTGGTAAAGAACCTGCCTGCCAATGCAGGAGCCACAGGAGATAGGAGTCTGATCCTTGGGTCAGAAAGATCCCCTGGAGTAGGAAATGGCAACCCACTCCAGTATTCTTGCCAGTATATTCCATGGACAGAAGAGCCTGGTGGGTCACATGGGGCCACAAAGAGTTAGACATGCCTGAGCACGGAGCAGACAGTATCTAATAGCGGCTCCTCTGGTCTTTATCGTGTCTTCGTCTAGATGACAGACTCCAGCCTAGGCTACAGGTAGACTTCTGTGTTCCATTCTTTTTTTTCTCATTCTCCTTTCATTTGATGCTTTTTTTCCTAGGTAGTAGCTAACATTAGGAAGATTTCACATAAAAGTTTGAATTTCTAGCTTTCCTTGAAAAAGTCTTTGTTGTCGCATGACAATCACAAGCTGGACTTAAGAGGCAGTTGGTTCTTTTAGGGGTTCATGGCCTCTCCAGGAGGCTGCAGTCCCCACGTGGCCATCTCCATCATGTTGCAGCCTGCTGGCCTGCCAGCACTTGTCCTGGGGACTCTGCAGAGATGGTGGGGAAGCTGTGTTGTGAACCCTGGTCTCTGGATTCCCAGACTAGGGTGATTTCTACTATATTCTGTGGCCAGTTTGACTCTGCCCAGATGGGACAGAAGAGATGATTATTTCAGAACTGCCCGATGTTACACTCCTGGAACCTGGACTTAGAGTGGGGAAGACATAGAACTTCATGGGCTCTCTGGGTCCTGGTGTTCTACGGTGGAGACGAGTGCAGGAAACACAAGTGTAATCAGAGGTCCCTGGTCTTCCTTAGGTCCTCTTCTTCCCACCCCCAACCAGTGGCTGAGCCAAGAGGCTGGAGTTAAAGCCCTTCCCCCATTGACAGCTTTATGGATCGCTCCCAACCCCCCACCAGTCTGGTTAAATCATTGTCAGAGGCACAAGGTCGGGTCACCAGCTGGCTGCCCCATGCCGAGGAGACTAGCGGTGGTGTTAGGAGGGGTGGAGAGCCTACGGGAGCCCCTGCCTTCTACCTCCACAGCCCCGGACCCCACACTCCCCAGTCCTGCAGACCCTGCTTAGAATCCAAAGGGCTCCTGTCCTATTAATAAGTGATGCTGAGAAGTAATCTCAGCTCTGGTGGCATCCTGGCCCAGGGGGGGAATAAGGGCTATGGGAAGGTCAGACAGACCTGGACTTGAATCCTGGCTGCCCACCAGCTGTGCCCACCAAAGTCAGTTATTGAATGCCCTGAGCCTCAGTTTCTTCACCGGTCACCTAGGACAAATAATAGTCAATAACTCTACATCTCAGGGATTCTGTATAGATAAAATAAATGACAGGAGTGTGGACGTGCAGTAGCAGCAGCACTTAATAGGCTCTCAGTAATTGTCCGTTTTTCTTTCCCTTCTCTGAGCCTCAGGGAGCTGCTCCTGGGAGCTCTTGGTTCATCTGTTGAGGCTCTGTGTCATGTGTATGTGCATGCTAACTCACTTCAGTCGTGTCCAACTCTTTGCGTCCCTATGGACTGTTGCCTGCCAGGCTCTCTGTCCATGGGATTCTCCAGGCAAGAATACTGGACTGGGTTGCCATGCCCTTCTCCAGGGGACCTTCCCAACCCAAGGATTGAACCCGTGTCTCCTGCAGCTCCTGCATTACAGGAGGATTCTTTACTACTGAGCCACGGGGGAAGCCCCTTCTGTGTCATATAGGCAGACTGAACAGCCTAGAAACAAGAGCTTTTAGGACAGAAAACTAGAAAGCAACCTCTATTTAAAAAATTATTCTCCTTAACATATACACACTGCTGCTGCTGCTGCTGCTAAGTCCAATGCATGAAAGTGAAAAGTGGAAGTAACATCGCTCAGTCGTGTCCGACTCTTCGTGACCCCATGGACTGCAGCCTACCAGGCTCCTCCGTCCATGGAATTTTCCAGGCAAGAGTACTGGAGTGGGTTGCCATGGCCTTCTCCAATATACACACGACTATGTATAAAACAGATAATAGGACCTACTGTATAGCACAAGGAACTCTACTCAATCCACTGCAGTGAGCTGTATGGGAGAGAAAATCTCAGAAAGAGAGGGTATAAGCTTATGTGTCGCTGATTCACTTCACTGTACGGCAGAAACCGACACTGCATTGTAAATCAACTATTCTCCAATAATTTTTTTAATTAAAAAATTAATCTCTTAGACTAGCCACAACTTGCAAAGACCAGCCCCCTGCCTCTCCCTCAGTCCCCACAGCTATTGTGTGAGAGTGATAGAACTATAGTCCCCATTTGCAGATGGGAAAACTGAGAGGCAGAGTCGTTCAGGGAGTTGCTCAAGGTGACAGAGCTAAGTGTGGGAGGTGACCTTGGCTGTCACAACAGGTCTGGCCATGGGGCAAGGCTCTGCCCTCCCAAAGACTCAAATAGCATGGTGGGGGATTGTGGCTACAGCTGAGGGCAGGCTCTGGCTACCTCCTCCATCTCTCACCACCCCTAAAAATGCCGTGTACTTCTCCAGCCCTTTCCCCGACCTGGTGAATACTCCTGCTGAATAAACACATCCTTCTCACCTTTCAAGGCTGGCAGAAATGTCACCCCCTCTGAGAAGCCTTCTCTGACTTCATCTCAACTGGAGATTTTCTCCTCTCTACTCTTACTTCTATGCTGCTCCCAATGCTCACCTCCCAAGCCCATGGAGCTCCTTATCTGCCTACTCAACAGCTTCTTTCCTGGGTGGAAGCCTGGATGGCAACCCTCTGAAGGGTGGAATCCATGCTAGGTTGACCTTATTTCCAACCTCTGTCCATGGGGCACCCCCATCCTACCTCTCCCCCCACTCAAGTGTGGGATGGACAGGCCACAGACTCCAATAAACACAAGTCTAACCCTTTAGTAGTGTGTATCAAAAGCCTTAAAAAATACACATGCTTTGACCTGTAAGTTCTACTTCTAGGATATTTTCCTAAAGGAATAGTGAAAAGATACATGTATAAAAATGCTCATTTAGTGTTATTTATAAAGGACAAAATTTGGACAGAACTTAAATGTCCAATAAGGGAGTTGAGGTTAAATATATTATTATGCTAGGGTCTTCCCTGGTGGTACAGTGGTTAAGACTTCAGCTTCTACTGCAGGGGGTGCACATTTGATCCCTGGTTTGGAATGCCTACATGCCTACATGCCAAGGCCTACATGCCTCCTGGCCCAAAAAACAAAAGAGAAAACAGAAAAAGTATTGTAACAAATTCACTAAAGGTTTTTAAAATGGTTTACATCAAAAAACACTTTAAAAATCATATTATGATACTATGCAATTAAAATGATGAGATGTGTGCTGCGCTTAGTCACTCAATTGTGTCCAACTCTTTTCAACCCCGTGGACTGTAGCCCACCAGGCTCCTCTGTCCATGGGAATTCTCCAGGCAAAAATACTGAAGTGGGTTGCCATGCCCTCCTCCAGGGGATCTTCCCAAGCCAGGGATAGAACCCAGATCTCCAGCATTGCGGAATGATTCTTTACTATCTGAGCCACCATGGAAGCTGTAGTGGGTAGCCTATCCCTTCTCCAGGGGATCTTCCCGACCCAGGAATTGAACTGGTGTCTCCTTCAATGTAGGCAGATTCTTTACCAGCTGAGCTACCAGGAAAGCCCAAAATAATGAGGTGGATCTATATTTCATTAACACCAAAAGATGTTCATAATGTGGTCAAGCTCAGCTGCTAAGTCATGTCCGACTCTTTGTGACTCCCAACGGAGTGTAGCCCACTAGGTTCCTCTGTCCATGGGATTTCCCAGCAAGAATACTGGAGTGGGTTGCCATTTCCTCCTCTAAGGAATCTTTTCAACCCAGGGATCAAACCTGTCTCCTGCGTCTGTCTCCTGCATAGGCAGGCAGATTCTTTACCACTGAGCCAATGATGTATTAAGTGTAAAAAGAAGATTGTAAGAAAAGAAGTATAGAGTGATCTCTCTTCATATACATATACGTGTCTGTGTCTGTGTGTGTGTCTGTGTGTGTGTGTGAGGTGTCTGTGTGTGGATAAAGACAGGTATAATATCTACCAAATGTTAACAGAGTTATCTCTTGGTGGTGAGATTAATGGGTGATTTATAATGTTTTACTAATCCACACTTTTCTTCAGTGAGTTACTTGGGAGATTGAAGAAGCAGGAGAAACATTTATTTTAAAGCTGAGTGTCACAGGTTGGGCTCCAGGAGCCTCTCTGCAGGCTTTTCCCATTAGAGACTGAATAAGGCCAGGTGAGGCCAGGTGGAATTGGGGACTGGGTAGGCAGCAGGGGCAGTGTAGCTGGCTCCAGCTCACCTCCGATCAAGTCTGAGCCAGGCTGAGTGACATCAGGTTTGGTTCTTGGCCTGGGTCGGGCTCCAGGAGGCACCCTGTAGCCAGGTGATTGTCCCGCCCCAGCCCGCACCTGCTCCATTAATCTTCCTTGTCCCAACCCGGCCGACAGAGCCCACTCTTTCTGTTGACCTAAGAGGAGGGTGCCAAGGGCCCAGGGAGGGGCTCCTGCTCCATACCTGCCGTTGCTCAGCAGCTGAGCCTGGAGCCCTCAGAGGGGGCCAGGTTTGTCAGCGCTGATGGATGGGGGCTTAGGAAGGCCACTCTGTCCCGCCCCATTGCCCTACCTTCCCTGGCTCATGCTTCCCCTTAGAGCTTTCGTCACCTAGACAGGATGGCTAATGAAGTCCAATCTGCAGATGGCCATGACCCACACACAGACCCCTCCCCCAGTGCACATCTGCAGTCCCACAAGTTTTCTCATTTAAACCTCCTCTAAGCCTGAGAATGTAGCAAGTCAGATACTAGCTTTTTTATAGATGAGAAGTTGGCTTAAAGCTCAACATTCAGAAAACTAAGATCATGGCATCTGGTCCCATCACTTCATGTGAAACAGATGGGGAAACAGTGGAAACAGTGTCAGACTTCATTTTTCTGGGCTCCAAAATCACTGCAGATGATGATTGCAGCCATGAAATTAAAAGATGCTTACTCCTTGGAAGGAAAGTTATGACCAACCTATATCGCATATTAAAAAGCAGAGACATTACTTTGCCACTAAAGGTCCGTCTAGTCAAGTCTATGGTTTCACCAGTGGTCATATATGGATGTGAGAGTTGGACTGTGAAGAAAGCTGAGCACTGAAAAATTGATGCTTTTGAACTGTGGTGTTGGAGAAGACTCTTGAGAGTCCCTTGGACTGCAAGGAGATCCAACTAGTCCATCCTAAAGGAGATCAGTCCTGGTGTTCATTGGAAGGACTGATGCTGAAGCTGAAACTCCAATACTTTGGCCACCTCATGTGAAGAGTTGACTCATTGGTAAAGACCCTGATCCTGGGAGGGACTGGGGGCAGGAGAAGGGGACGACAGGATGAGATGGCTGGATGGCATCACCGACTCAATGGACATGAGTTTGAGTAATCTCTGGGAGTTGGTGATGGACAGGGAGGCCTGGCATGCTGCGATTCATGGGGTCGCAAAGAGTAGGACACGACTGAGCGACTGAACTGAACTGAACTGACTGAAGCCCGAGAATGTAGCAAGTCAGATACTAGCTTTTTTATAGATGAGAAAATGGAAGCAATTAACATAACAATTCAAATAACAAGGTAGATCTATATTTTACTGAGATCAAAAGTCATAGTATGACAAAAGTAGAATATCATTCTTCCCATGTAATAAATATATATGTGGAAGGACATCTACCAGCCATTAGGAGTGACTGAGCTGGTATTTGGACCAGGTGATTGGGCTCACATCCATGCTCATTTCACTGTCTGTCATTGCCTCTTTGTCCTGAGGTTCTTCCCTCCTTCAAAGCTCTACCACCTCCAGGTGGCCTCGTGGGACTCCTCCCTCAACGGGGCTTGGACCACTTCATCACAGTGTCAATTTTGTGTTCATCCCAATGCCTGTACCTCTGAGAGCCCCCAGCTGGTGCCGTGGGGTCTTTGCCCCACCCCACTGGATGAGGCCTCCCCACTCCCCATCCCCTCTGGCATCATCACCCCGATGGCACCAAATCCAAGACTCAAAGCTCACACACTCAAGAGGAAAGGCTCCTCACCTGGATGCCACTTATTCTGCTTTTGCATATAACCCTTCTCAGCTTGGATAGCTGACTCCCTGGGCCACAGGTTTCTAGATATTTTATGGTGGAGTAATTTGCAAGTTCCTTGCCTGGCATCTTGCTTAAACTCCAGTTTTTCCCACTTAGCAATATATTATGAATTTTTCCCCTTTTAAGAAGCAATATTTTACAACATAATTTTCAATGGGGTATAGTTACCCCTTTGAATATATATAGCAATCCAATATATATTGTGTACATATGCATGCTCAGTCACTCAGTGGTGTCTAACTCTTTGTGACCCCATAGACGGTAGCCCTCCAGGCTCCTCTGTCCAAGAGATTTTTCAGGCATTAATACTGGAGGGGGTTGCCATTTTCTCCTCCAGGGGATATTCCTGGCCCAGGGATCAAATCCACATCCCCTACATCTCCTGCATTGATAGGTGGATTCTACTGTACCACCTGGGGAGCCCTGTATATATTAGAATATACAATAATCTAATCTGTCCTCTATGATTGAACATTTCTTTTGTATTCAACTTTTAGATACTTATTAGATACATATCTAATAATCTAATATTTAAAATATAATGTCTAATATATAATTAAATAATTTGTTCTCTATGGTTGAACATTTATATCTAACTTTTTGCCATTCTAAAAGATGGTATTATAAATACCTTTGTTGATACTTTCTTATGCAGTTTCTGATGATTTCTGTAGGTGGAATAACAAGGCCAAGAAGTTTGACCATTTTTAGGCATTTGATAATTCTGTCAGCAAGAAAGGATGGGTCAATTTTTAAAATAATTGATGTAATATATGAACATGATAAAAATTTTAAAATACCGAAGGACAGTAATCATGACAGTCGCCATAGCTAACCTTCACTGATGGTCTCATACAGTCTCCTACTTTTGTATATTATTATATTGTATATAGTGTATATTTGTTGGATATTGTATTCTACTGTAGATCCTATGAGAGAAGAATTACAGTTATTTCTATTTCACAAGTGACATCAAGGCTTAAAGAGGTTGCCTATGGTCACCAAGCTGTAGGTGGCAGGTCTATCATGCAAGCCAGGGGGCCTGACTCCTAAGCCGTGCTGTTGACCTACGGAAGGGAGATGGGCAGCCCGCGTCTCCCGTGCGGGGAGAATGACAGGAGCTACAGTGAGAAGACGAGAAGGTGGGCTGTGGGCTGGGCCAGAGGGAGAGGGGACAGGAGGGCTCCAGGCAGGGACCTGTGTGTGGCCGCGCAGCAGTGCAGTCCAGAGCTGATGGAGAGCCGGGGTGGCTTCATGGACATGGCAGAGTCCGCAGGGCCGGGGGGAGGCTGGGCACCCAGGTTTCTAGTGTGGGAGGTGGGTGCTCGTGGTGGTGCCACTCACAGGGGTGGAAACTTGAGGAACAGGTGTGGCCAGGTCCTAGAGGAGAAGCCTTGCGCTGGGAGTGTGCCTGTGCCCAGACCAGGCCCTCCTGTTGAGGCCCGTGTCTTTTCCCACAACTCGCCCAGGGCCTGGCGCGCACGTGACACCCTGAAGGCTGATGGAGCCAGAGCCCTGTCAGCCCGCCTGCTTCTCTTTCCCCTCCTCCTTCTCTTTCACTCTCTCCTGTTTCATGTTGCCCTGGTGCGATGCCCACTCTACCGCTCTCCCTGTCTGAGGCTCTGACGATTCTGACCTATTTGTCCTGCCCCTGGAGAAGGGCAGGTACACCCCTCTCCTTTCCCCTGGTGTTGATTGCTCCAGAAGGGCTGGAGGGGTCTGACTGCTAAACATATAACCTCTTCTTAAGTAATCTTCCCTCTCCATGGGTCCAGGGAACATCCTGGGCCTGGCAAAAAAACCTGCAGCCCAGAAGGTGACTGATAAGAGGTCCAGACAGTAGGGAGCAGCCTGGCTCCTGCATTCCTTCAGGTCAGTTTCATCAAAAGCATCATCACTGAATGTCTACTGTGTGCTAAGCATCCAAGGGACACTGGGATGAACTGGACATGGTGCCTGCCTTAGAGCTATGACCCTCTCCTCATCAGAAAGCTGAGTCATAAAATAAAAGTAAACTCTTTTATTTTATGGAGGGGTAGCCTTAATTTTGCGTGGCGAGTCTAGGCTGCGAAGCTGGAACACTCAGCTCTGGACCCTGATCTGCCACTAACTCTGCATGTGACCTTGGGCCAGTCTCTTCCCCTTCCAGGGCTTCATTTTCCGCAGCTGTGAAGCCTCAGGGCTCCCTGAGGCCATTTCCAGCCAGAGCAATAGGCAGTTCTGTTCCTAGACCTGAGTCCTTTTTTAGCTGCTGCTGACTTTTTCCTCCCACTCTTTAAAAGCAATGAGAAGAGGCTGGGGTGGGGGCAGGGGACACGGGGACTGTGAAGAAATTCCCAGACTGATCTGTTGTTTGTTGTGTGTGGACAGAGGAACTGGGGAGTTCTGGGGGAGGGCAGAGGGGAAGGAGAGGGATGAAGTGAGGAGGGGGTGAGGAGGGTGCCCAGAGGAGACAGAAGAATGAAATAAAGGCGAATCCAACAAAAGAAAGTGAAAAGTGAGTGACAAGTTTGAGGCTGCAGGCCTGAAGCCGGCCAGGCCTTTAGGGTGAAGAATGGAGACAAATGAGCTAGATTTTCATGCTTGGTGGACGGTGAATGAAGAGCATCTTTTAAAGCCCTATCAGGAACTCTTTGGATTGTCATTAGATCTGGAGAGGGGAAAAAGACAGAGGGAGGAGACTGCTGAATTTGGCCCCCTGGGTGTGAAAAGATGCTGATTCTCTGCCGGCTGCTGGGGGCTTTGGGCCTTCTTCCTGGACTCAGGCACGCCTGGGCCCCCTCAAAGGTTTCAGTAAATTAGTTATTTTGAGGGCTCTTGAAATTCAGTGGCAGGCGCCCCCTGCTCTCGGCGGGTGACACCACACTGGAGCTAGGAGGGGGAGGGAGGGCTGGGTGGACACGGGGTTTCAGGCTCCTTGTAGGGTGAACTGACCATTGGGGTTTTCTGGGGACAGGACTTGCAGTTCTGAGACTGGGAAGGTCCTAGGCAAACCAGCATGATTGGTCATCACACTTTGGGGTGAGACTGGTAGGGAAGGGAGGGAACTGTCTTGTCCAAAGCCAGTCCCACTAAGGTATGGAGTCAGGGCTGGCCCAATCTTGGTCTTGGCCTTGGTCCTGGCCTGCAGCTGACTGCCCAGCTCACCTGTTCAGCAGGGAGAGAGGAGATTCTAAGATGGAGGTTCTTTGTCTAAAAAGATGATTGGAAGCATTTGAATAGGACTGGATATTAGATCGTGTTGTTTTTTAGCCACTAAATTGTGTCCAGCTCTTTACACCCCATGGACAGCCTGCCAGGCTCCTGTGTCCATGGAGTTTCCCAGGTAAGCATATAGGAGTAGATTGCAATTTCCTTCTCCAGGGGATCTTTCTGACCCAGGGACTGAACCCACATCTCCTGCATTGGCAGGAG